ATTGAGATGTCTCTAGTCATCTTAGGTGAAATATATTAAGCTTTCAGTACAATATATATGTTCCCTACCTCGCAAAGATTATGCTGGAGTAGTAAACTCTAGAAATAGAGAATTGTTCATCTATAACTTGGTAAAGTTGAGTCAGGAATTCCATATGGAAATTACGTATGATACGCCAGTAACCTCAATATAACCTAAAAATCAACGAATGTCAAAAATCTAGTGTTGATCCCCAGAATTGAATAAGGATGGAACTATATTACTGTTTCACAAACACTTTAGAGTGAGAGGAGACGAGGATCTGTCCGTACCCTGTTAAGATGACTTTAACGTCAATTTCCATCAAGGGACCCTAGTTTTGATAAGTCAACTGGGATGCATGATGACGTTGCTGATGCACTACGCAAGAAAAGAATCAACGAGCTATCGAAATCAATCAGAAAGAAAAGTTCAGCTCTGAAATCAGGCAAGTCTGAGGATGATGAAGCGTTACAAAAAATATTCCAACCGCTGACATCCCTTTTGAAACAAATTGCCATCATATTCAGGGTCATGAACAGCTCGTGACGTCACCAAGACAGGCCAGTGTTTTATTTCATCGCTTGTCGACTAACGCGTCAGTTCGTGTTAATTCATCGGTGATTCACGTATGTTTTTGAAATGGTCCCGAATTCTTTTGTTGATCATTCATCAAAATAATTGGCGGAAAAATTACTGTTTTGTGAAATATTTTGTGTTGTGATCGGCGAAATAACAATGCCTTTCAAGTGTTGTGTTTCCTTTTGTCGGGGGAATTATGTGGGTGGTTCAAAAGTTCATGCTTTTAGTTTCCCGTTGGACGAGGAGCTATCGAAAATGTGGGTATATGCAATTCACCGCGAGGATTTTACTCTATCTGAGTTCAGTAGTAAACAGAGCTCAATTTATAATGATGAATTTATAATAGAAGACAATTACTCTCTCATAAAAAGTATAAGTAGAGGAAAAATAGAAAAGCTTTGATTGTGCAGTTAGTTTTGTATTCGTATATTATAGTCAACAAAATCATCTATGAATTCAAGGAAATTTCCTTGAATGTTCATAATAAACGGGCATTTTTAATTCTCATTCTCAAATTCCTTTCTGAAAACGGTCATTTGCCTCGTGGCAATGAATGCAGAATTCATTCCAATGATCAAATTGCAACTATCATATAAACATGAACTACAAACACTCTACTTGAAGAGGTAAAACTGCATTTATCATGATATTTATCATGAAGATATTTGACTAAAAAGTTCCGAATTTCACCTTCTTTTTCACCTGTCTTCTGGATGGCATTTAGAACAAATTTCCCTCCTCTTTTCATCATATTGGACAATTTATATATAATTCAACTAAAAATATGATTTTTTTGAGATTAATCCATATTTAGTGAAAAGAAGGAAGAATATCATTCAAAATAATGGCGTATGTAATGTCATTCGAAAGCAATCTATTGACATTTGACATCTCGTTTTTTGATTGACTATTGATTAAATGGTCGTCATCTGGAATGCTTGTTCACTAAATATGAAAAACTCGCCATAAAAATCATTTTTCCTGTTGAATTTTCTATATAAAAATGTACCATCGAAGTACATCATGCGTATATAGAGTGTCCAATGACAAAATAAGAGCAAGTAGCTTCAAATGCCCCAACACAAGGGAAGAAAGAAGGCGAAATTTCGAACTTACTCTTGAAATATCTCAATAAAAAGTGGTTTGTTCACATTTTCATTATAAAATTCGGTTTATCAGACAAAAATACGTGAGTACCGAAAAAAAATTTCATTTAAAAAAAAAAACATCGCATGATAAATGCAGTTTTACCCTTGAAAATAACGATTTCAAGTGTAACGATCCTTTTGGGTGAAAAATCCAACAACAGAAAATTGAAAATACTCACTGGTTATTTTTTCAGGTAATAGGAATTCTCCAAGATGAATATAGGAAATTGTAACAAACGGCATGTCAATCAAAATAAAATACATTTTCCACAATTTTCTTCCGATTGATCTCACGATAAGTTTATGTTCTGCGGGCCCTGTATAAGTAGGTGTGAAGTTTACCTTCACCACAATTTTTGCCAATATATTCAATTCGAATGGGATGCTGTAGGTGGATATTCGTGTTTTATCCTGGTTTTTGCTTTGAAACTTCGTTTTTCCATAATAAAATCGAATGGGGTGCAAAGAAGGGCTCAGTTGACTACTGGCATCCTTTTTTAACCGAAAGCCTTTCAAAAAACAACAAAACCGGCCCAATGATGATCTATAACTGAAATCGAAATACGCGGTCGTCTTATAGCGCTATAAGCGCTTGTCGTTTCGAGCCGCTGGTTAGGCCTTACTAAGTGACGTCACCCACGGAACATGCAGGCCTTGTTGTATCAGTGGTAACGGTCAAATGGACATTGAAGGAAAAACTATACGAATCCTTCAGTTTGAATGAACTACTGAACTATTTGGAATCGAAAGAGTTCGTCTTACGAAACATACCACATACAGGGTGTCTGCTAAAAGGAGGTCAATTCATTTACCATATATTCCTAGAACAAAAACAATATGAGTTTCTGAATACCATTTTCCATTTTAGTTCTCCATATTTGAAATACAGGGTGTCAAAGTTGGAAATGAAAAACTGTTTTTTTTTTCATTACTCGCGTATTTGATGAGATATTAATCTCAAAATTGGTACATCACTCCAGCACAAAGAGTTCCATCGTGTGAAGAAAACAAAACAAAGAATAACCATCAAATATTCAGGATACTGGGGGTCAAGTACACACTTACCCCCCATATTTTTTTTGTACGTACGCTATACTAAACTACTCAACACTAATTTCGTCGCACACCAAAATGTCGCCCCTGATATAATGTGAATAACTTTTTTCAGTTTAGAACAATTTGAATTTGGTTTACACTGTTCGATAGCCTAGTCCTTCAGCTATAATCTCGTACTTCATTGAAACATGAGGGTATTTACATGAAATCTCTACATGGTGTTTTCCGACACTGTGCACAATTTCGGAATATTCAAAAGGCTCTCAAATGGTGAAAAAAATGTTTTTCTCAACTTTGACAACAGAGGCATGAAGATGATCTCATTACCTCGAGATATTTCGCGAATCAACTTCCTATCTCTCTTATTTACAGAGTGATCTCAAAAAATCAACTTTTTGGTTTTGCAGCCATAACTTTTTTCCACGTCAACCGATTTTGGGAATCTTAGGCTCATTTTGAAGATAAAACTTTAGATGAAGAAATCAGAATATCAGAATTGACTCAAGATGGCTATCAAAGATCTAGAGTTTTCTTGAATGTGACCCAAATCTGGAACGTCTTCCGAATCTGGGTTGGGAGGAGAATTGAATGAAAATCAACTTGTTCTCGGAAAAACAATTCATTCTGGATGCGTCTATATTTTCCTCGCTCTCAGTACTCAAGAATGTGCGTGAGAAAACACAATTGAAACATGTTCTTGCAAAAACATCAGACCATTTCTCCTCTGTAATGCATGGCCCGTAACCAACGATACAAGAATCACAGTAAGTGACTGACAAGTCAGGTTAGACGTCGTTTTCGAATCTTAAACAGATTTTGATAGTTTCGATGCCGCATCTAACGACCGACCAGTTGGAACTGATTCCACAAATGAGGGAACAAGGGTTATCTTCCCTCCATATCGCGGATCTGCTAAACACGACAGTCCGATCCATTCAAAGGGCTTATCTCCGACACGAATTTTTTGTTTTCGTGAAACTTTCACCATTTTTGAAATGCGTTTTCACAATAAATAAACGTTGTATGCTTGAATACTTCTCCATATTCTTAAATCGCATGTTATGTAGGTGACAACTGTTGAAAAAATCACTTCATTGAAAAAATCAGAATCCGTTGCTCTTGTTGGTACACCATTCATGATGAGTCTCAGCTGGTCGGGTTTGTTAGTCACTCATTGTGATTCTTGTAACGTTGGTTACGGCAAGCCATGCATTACTGAGTAGAAATGATCTAATGTTTTTGCAAGAACATGTTTCAATTGTGTTTTCTCACGCACAAGTCTTGACTACTGAGAGCGAGGAGAATATGGACGCATCCAGAATGAATTGTTTCTCCGAGAACAAGTTGATTTTCATTCAATTTTCCTCCCAACCAAGATTCGAAGGGCGTTCCAGATTTGGGTCACTTTCAAGAAAACTCTAGATCTTTGATAGCCATCTTGAGTCAATTCTAATATTCAGATCTCTTCATCTGAAGTTTTATCTTCAAAATGAGCCTAAGATTTCCAAAATCGGTTGACGTAAAAAAAAGTTATGGCTGCAAAACCAAAAAGTTGATTTTTTGAGATCACCCTGTAAATAAGAGAAGTAGGAAGTTGATTCGCGAAATATCTCGAGGTAATGAGATCATCTTCATAACTCTGTTGTCGAAGTTGAGAAAAAAATTTTTTTTCACCATTTGAGAGCCTTTTGAATATTCCGAAATTTCGCACAGTGTGGAAAACACCATGTAGAGACTTTATGTAAATACCCTTATGTTTCAATGAAGTACGAGATTATAGCTGAAGGACTGGGCTATCGAACAGTGTGAACCAAATTCAAATTGTTCTAAACTGAAAAAAGTTATTCACATTATAACAGGAGCGACATTTTGGTGTGCGACGAAATTAGTGTTGAGTAGTTTATTTGGAAGTTGGAAAAATCAGGCTACAATTCAATAAATACTCAAGAGGATGATATCGAAAATAAGTAGATTCTTTATGAGAATCTGGCTAGGTATGAGGTACTCTCACAATTCTCTGAGTACGAGTAGTAGACACCTCTGAAGTTGATATTTACGGTACAGAGACCTGAAGAATATTCAAAAATTGGGTAAAACTCTGATACGGGCCTTGAAAACGCCATTATACGGCATTCAACTTCCGTATTTTGCTCTTTTTTCCAGACATCCTTTACATGAGAATCATTAACATTTCAGGGCCGGAATTATTCTTCATTCTTCATGGCAATCGGCTGGTGTATTGCTTTACTGATGGACTGCTATAGTGGACAACGATTACAAGATGAGGTGAGACAATCTCTTACTTCCCTAATTTTTTTTTCCAAAAATTGAACGTTCTACAACGTTCAATGATATTATCGAAACAATCGTGATTTCCATCGTACGTGTTAGAATTGATAATAACAAATCGGCTGCCAACCAGTGAAAAGCAACTAGATGTCTACATATACAGTATGGTGACAATACCTCTTGATATACATACGGAGTTTGTAACATCATCCGCGTAGTTGTAGTGACGTCATCAATCATTTTTTTGAATGGAAACATTCCCTTTTCATCTCTTTTTTTCTGAAGGTATATTCATTGTCAATCCGACCATATACTGATATTAGCAAAATTAAGTATTACAGGGTGGGAAAAAATTATCGATCATTCTTTCTGTTAGCCTCATCTTACTAGAGAGTAGGGGTGGGAAAAATTATCGATATATCGATAATTATCGATAATTATCGATAATTATCGATAATTATCGATAATTATCGATAATTATCGATAATAATTTGGAGAAAAATTATCGATTTATCGATATTATCGATATTATCGATATTATCGATAATTATCGATAATTATCGATATTATCGATATTATCGATATTATCGATATTATCGATATTATCGATATTATCGATATTATCGATATTATCGATATTATCGATATTATCGATATTATCGATATTATCGATATTATCGATATTATCGATATTATCGATATTATCGATATTATCGATATTATCGATATTATCGATATTTTCTATATTTTCGATATTATCGATATTATCTAAATAATCAATAATGTCGATGATATCAAAATTATCGGAATTACCGATATAACCAATGATATAAAAATTATCAAAATGAATGAGCATCAGAAAAATAGGTATTTTTGTTTCTTATTTGGAACACCCTGAATAAAACAGATACTTGTTGGTAAGAATTGAAGTAAGAATGAAGAATATAATAAGACACGCCACCCTGTACATCAGCCCTGTTCAAACAACATAGGACTCCAGCACAGCAACTTGCATGAAGCTATCTGACATCTGGCAACGTGGCAACCCTTATTAGTTGTGGTGGCAAACTTATTGGTTAGTTATGTGTTGAACGAGTAACAAGTATCAAGTAAGGTGGGTTATCTAATCATATGGAATATTTTTATTTCTTCATTCGATTGCTCATTCCTTGAAAAATAACATAATGACAAAATGGCTTCGTTTATTATACCTACGTAGAAACCAGAAAGTGAATATAAAAAATTAGTTTTATAAAAATACCCTTGTCACGACTAGAAGTGGGAAAAATTATCGATATATCGATAATTATCGATAATAATTTGTAGAAAAATTATCGATAATATCGATAATATCGATAATATCGATAATATCGATAATATCGATATTATCGATATTATCGATATTATCGATATTATCGATATTATCGATATTATCGATATTATCGATAATATCGATAAATCGATAATATCGATAGATTATGATTATCAATAATCGATATTTCAAAATCATTATCGCCCACCCCTACTAGAGAGCATGCTGGATAGCAGACTTAAGTCGAATACTGTAATTTGGTATTCAAATATAAATCCTGAATACTGTATTCTGAATTGTATTCGAATACTCAAGATTCGAATACAGAGAAAAAAAGTATTCGAATACCTGGATTTATTAACATACGAATATTTTATGAATATTCCAACTGAAAAAAATAACATTTGCGCACATAAAGCTCGTTTATATTCATGTATGTAGTAAATTCATGGAAATATATGAAAAAAAAAATCAATTTCAAATAAAACTTGATGAATATTTTTTCAATACGAAGTGTCACAATGAGTCGGACGAACCTCCAACAATCGGTTCTTCTGGATCTGGACCGTCAGAAATGGTTTCCTGGGAATCCTGAGTAACGATATTCCTCTTCATCGATAATCTGCACCTGCAAAACGGTAAAATTCTACTACTATCAACCCCCAGTGAGGGTAAGAATCACTCCAAAATACTAAAATAATTGAAATTTTGACAGGTTTCGAGGCTCCTGGCTCTTCTTCAGTTGGGTTGGTCAGCCTGTATATGAATCTCACACATGATGTATCTACACAGTACACCTAGGTACAACATCAAGAAATGAATTCACCTTTTATACCTTATATTACTGGTATTACACACAAATTATATCAGGTATTGAAATTTATCATAAAGTAGAATGAGAATACTCACAAGTGCATACATTTACGTACCTAATCTGATTTTCCTCAAGGCACCTGTCTCATCTCGCGTTTTCGTAGTGACCAGATTCAACCCGATCATCGGCATCGCGAATTCAGAAACACCACCGTTCACAATCACAGAGAACGTGTTCATACGTGTTTGAAAACGCTCAAGTTGCATTGAGCCGGAGCCGTGGCAATATATGATCGACCAATAATATATCGCGACGGCTCCGTTTAAGTGTAACGAAATATTCATTGAACTAATCGAAATGTATCCGAAAACAGAATTCGAATACCGGGATTCGAATACAAAGTGGGTATTTGAATACTGTGATTCAAAAACGGTATTCAGAATCCAGAATACCGAGTACTGACCAAAATAGTATTCAGTCGAATACCGAATACCAAATACACGAATGTATTCGAATAGTATTCGAATACCAGCCAAATGTATTCTGAATAGGATTCAGAATACTATAAGTATTCCAATAGTACACAAGTCTGATGAATAGTTTCATCAAATGTCACGAATGTCACCTCAAGCCTCATCAATCACGATATACATTGTTTCTGATGTATACAGGTAGAATTTTCTATTTATTGTGATTGGTTCCGTTGTGAATATGTGATGATTGATAATTTTTCCTCACCCTATATCACTCCATTTTGCTTATATCAGTATATGGTTGGATTGACAATGAATATGACTTTCAAAAAGAAATAATGAAAATGGGATGTTTCTATTTGAAAAAATAATCGATGACGTCACCAAAAGATTACGTTACAAACTCCGTATGTATATCAAAAGGTGTCAATTTAAAAATAAAAATCGACCTGTCACGGTTTTTTTTTTTAAATTCATATGCGTTAGAGATAATAAATTCATTTCATACATTTCCACCATACTGTATAAAGAAATACATCGAGAATTCGCATCCTCTATGTGATGAAAATATCAATTCTTTCTCGGTTCATTCAACAGGAAACAACTACTTTCCTGGCTATATGCCACGAAAAACATTGAATTACATCTATTGAACATACACGATAACCATTTGGAAACAAAATCTTCTGAAGTAGAGGATTTGCATTCTCCTTTATATAAAGATATGCACATAATATCATTCTGAATATTCAACAGAAAACAACTCCTTTCCTGGCTATTTGCCACGTCGATCATTGAATCATATCTGATGAACATCCAGAAAGAGAGCATGAAAAATGAAAATTTCAATATGCTCAGTATCGAAATGAAAATGAAAATGTATATGAGAAGTATACTTGTATGAACTTTGATCTCGATGTGCTTGAAACTTTCAAAAAAATCATTCGCATCTGTGATATGGAAATTAAATCTCTCACAAACAGGTTATATGACTCCACTCAAATAAATTCATTTCGTTTATCAAATCCTCATCTGTGACTCAAAGTCCAGTTATTTTCTCAGCCATTCTTTATGATATACACAATTTCCATCTCCCTATGATTCAATTAAAACTAAACTGGTCTGAATTCAAAATAGAACAACTCACGAATTTCCTTACCAATTTGAATTCGGTTTTCACCGATGATGAGCCTGATCTTTTGACAGTTTGATGTGGCAATATAAAATTTATTTGATCTGAGATAACATTGCTAAAGGGTGATAGTTGAATGGGTGTAAAATTGCATCGTGATCGTCACCTTATCGTTTGAACAGGTAATTTTTTTATTTTTCTTCTCACCCTTCTCACCTGTATCGTCTTGATTGATGCTTTTTCTCGAAACGCTCTCGGAAATTTCGAATTCAGAGCATTGATAATCGTGTAATGAATATTCATCTGGAATGATGCATTTTTCGAAGAATCAACGTTGTATGTATAGTCGTCGGATATCTGATTGTGTTCGAACACAAGAAAGTTCTGGAGAAGCCTATACAATGGAATGGAATGGCGAATAACGTAGTCTTCAGAGAATGAACCATAATTTTCTTTGTGTTACAAGAGAAATAATGGAGTGTTACTTCGTCATGAAGATGTATGGTGTCTGACCTGGAAATGATTTTGTGATTTCTTGGATCAGAAGTCATATTGATGAAGGTGTTGGAAATACCCTGTATAATGTCTAAATTATATCGAAGACTAATCAATCTCTCTCAGTACTTCAAATCATCTTTTGTTGTAGTACCATGGTTATAGTTATTGATTTTTGAATTGTAAGAAATATAAAATGTGTCATGCTACTGTCATGTGGTGAACTTACATATATCATACTCTGTATAGTTTTAACGTTGGCTGATATGTCATGTTGATAGATTCAGCAGTCAATGAAATATAGTTTCTTGTCATTATTTATATCAATTGGATCTACAAATTGGTGACCCCGATAAGAACAGATTACTATTATTCTGATATTACAAGATGGTTAAAAAGTCAATCAATGACCTAACCAATGAAGATTTAACAAAAATTCTCAAAAAACTCAACGTTGATTTATGTGGAACCAAAGCAGATAAGTTGATAAGGCTAGAGACGATTATCAACGAACAATATGAGAACAGCAAAGAGTTTGACTGCTCAGTCCTACTAAAAGATAGCGAGCAGGAAACTACTGAGAGTTCTTTTACTTCTATTGAGTTCATTCGTTTAATTGAAGGAATTTCGTCACAGTTTTCTACGTACCAGGAAGAAATGAAACAACGAATGACTCTCTTAGAAAATAAGATTACTTTCAGTTCATCCACATCAAGTTATATTCCATCTAAAAGTCATCAGTCATCTTCAGAACAACCTGAATCTAATGAT